CTATGCTGGGGACGCCCATTTTGGGAAACCCTACTTCCTGATCCCGAATCCCTAAAACCTATATGAGCTATAGTCTAAACTCCTAGTATCCCCCTTAATATCCCCTATAGTAGGCCCCTATATAATCCCCTATATAACCCCCTTTAAGGAGTGTAGACTATAGTACACATGGGATGACATAGACATTGTACAAGCTACATAGTAGGGCTGCATGATAGAGCTATATGCGTTACAGTCCGTATACCCGATGCTAGAGAAGCAAATGGAAAAGAATATGGAACATGTAATCGAAACTACAACGTACAGTGTCGCGTAGGGATTAGGTCAGGTTTAGGGATATTCTCCTAATTCCAAGATACTGACCATGAAATGGGGACTTGGGTTGAGTAGGGATTCTGGGGATGAATATTTCCCACATAATGAATGGGTACCCTAATTTTGGGAACCCATCAGATCTGAGCTCCTTCATAAGATGCCTCATTGTCACTGTTTGTTGGAAGCTTGCAAACACGCGAATCACATCAAATCAACTGAGCGCAAAAGCTGTCCTAGCTGTAGGCCTTCTGAGGACTATCTCCAACATGCAGCCCAGGCGCAGAAATGCAAGGGCATGAGACATTCTGACAAATCGAATGACATCAATTGCAGGAAGGACGCGATGGAAACATGACGCAGACATTCAAAAAGAAACAGGTGGGCAAAAGCCACTTGTGCTCCATCGAAGCCGACTAAGCCCAACATGCCCCGGAAAACAACAGATGGGGGTATCCCAAAACTATGGGCACTCTCATCAGGGTACCCATAACAAGGCTTGTAACATTTGGTTCCCCCTATACAGGGAAACTGCCAGATGGAGTCCTGCATATCTTCATCATGCTTCCAGGCGTGATCCAAGTCATATCCGAAAAACGTCCTCAAGGGCATGGCAGAGTCCCTTGCACAGCTCAGAAACCTGAAGCTTTCCGCAGCTCCTCCATAATAGCCACCAGAGAAGATAGAGCTGAATGATGCGGAAACCAGCCATGGGATGAAGGAAGAACTGCTTCAGAGTCCAGCCGTAGCAGAAGTGACCTTGTCTCAGCTGTAGCCAGGATTCGCACAAGCCAGTGACTCACATGAGCTGTAGTCTAAACTCCTAGTATCCCCCGTAGTAAACGCTACACTACTCCTCAATCCTCTATATAACCGCCTTTAGGGAGAATAGGCTTTGGCTCACATGCTAGGGCTGTAGCTTCGATGCCCGACGTGATTGCTTGAGTTAAGGCCCCAAAAGACTTAACTCAGGGAACAAGGGATCATAAAACATACTACGAATTATACAATAGGATTATATTCCCTTATTCCCTACTAAGAACCAATAAAGTTAAGACCCAAAAAACTCATCAGCGTGCAAAACCTATTGCAGGAAGTCAATCAGAATCCTGAGGAAACCCGTGAAGCCCCTTCAAATGGTAGCTGGCCACCCCTCATCCACCATACCATTGTGATGGTCTCATTGACGAGGATGGCAAAGATTACCTCGGCTGCTCTTCTTACTCCCTAATCATGGGTTAAAAGCCTTTGAAAGATATTAAATGTATAAGGTCCCCTATTAAAGCCATTAGGGAAATATTGATTATACCTACCCAGAATCCCTAAACCGTAAACCTTAAACCGCCTGGCCGTTCATCAACTTCACTCTGACTCTTGCAGCGGGATGCTGAAGTGATTTCTCAACCAAAATCCCACCCCGCTGGGACTCTGGAAGGACTGGGCCATATCAGTCCCTGCTGTCGGATGCTCACCATTTTTACGATTACTATTTCAATTATACTTACAACTATTATTACGTAACATTAGTCATAATATTCCGAATAATACTATGGTTATTGGTAAAGAATGCAGCTTCCTTTTTGAAATCCTGGGAACGTCCAATGGGCTCGGCTAACCAAGCTGCGGTCCACGCCGTCTTCCGTGGCTCCCAGAGCCAGAAGCCAAACGACCACGACCTGACAAGTTTAAACTTCTGATATCTCCCCTTAATAAACGATATAACTCCTAGTACCCTCCCCCCTTAATAAACCCTATAACTACTCCCTTGTACAATCCCCTATATAAATCCTCTTCAAGTAGAATAGTGATGTACTGAGTTCCCGGCAGAAACGCACAGAAGAGCGCAAGCTCCTGGATGAGCAGCATTGAACCACCAATCTTACAGTCGAGCCTTTCCACCTCACCTAATTTGGATCCTGAACGAGTGCTGAAGTGATTGGCCGGAAGCAGAACTGCTCGTAGCCACAGCTGAGGATGGCTTGAACGACCTCCAAGGCAAGAAAAAGATTTGCTTGGCTTTCAATAATATGGACATCAGCCCTTGCTCCTCATCACCCTGTAACTCATGGTTTATTCCCAAGGGCCCACAGTGGCCTTCTCCGCGAAGATCTCACTCCAGCCGACACTGGTTAGTGCCATCATGATGCGAACCTTGGCTGAGACGTCTTGTCACCTATTCTCGCCTGCATGATGTCTGAACCTCGCGCAGCATGAACGGCTATACCAAAGAGGGCGAACAGTTGAAGCGAGACAAGGGATGACCTAGTAAGTAGGTTAATAACCCCTATAACCATATAGTAAGCCCATTTATCCCCATTATTAACCCACTTACTAAGTCCCCCTGACCAACAACCCTAAACAGCGCATCGCACGGGGATCAACGAAGGTCGGAGCTGAGGTCTGGGCATCCAAGACATTGGACAAGAGTAAAACCTCCGCAGGCAGCCATCAATTCTTGAAAGGCATGCACATCTCATGAGTGAGATTCCCTTAGCTTCAGCAACTGCCGAAGGCATAAGCTGACAATGGCACGCTAAGAGGCTTCCGTGAAAGAAGGTGCAATGCCTCAAAGTATGAAACTAAATAACTGCAGCACCCAACTCACGAGTTTTGCCCCCTGCTGCAGCCGATGAGCCTTGATGCAAACATCTCGATCGCCTCAGACACGCCAAGCAGTATTAGCCACTGAGACAAGAATTGCTTCCTCAAAAGCACGGCCGGAGCTAGCATGAGCCAGCAGGGCCTGACACCACACTGCATCGTGGAGCAACTACAGCCCGAACTCTCCCCACAACACCCTTCAGGGTCTGCATTGCTGTTGAGCATCCATCTTGGTGCTTACCCTTCAGCGCTGTCTGCGCCCCCATTTGGTCCACAACCTGCCCATCAGCATGCATAAGTAACTCCGGCGCACGGCCTCAGACTCAAGGACATGCTAAGCCAGATGAACGTTGACCCCTGTCATGCCCAATGATTTTGTTGACCGTCACTCAAAGTTCAAACGCTGCAAGATGATGCCATATGCTGCCCATATTATAATATACTATACTGTACTATACTATAATGTGATATATTTCAGTATACTACAATATACGAAAGTATACTATCATATATTATAATATACTATGGTAGACTATAGCATACTATAATAGCCTATAATATGCCAGCTCACCTTCTGCATGGGATCCATGAGGCTTGCCCTGCCAGGTGCTCGCAAGGAGGGACGCTGTTTCGAAACTCCAGTAAACTGAGCAGGCAACAGCACGACAAAGTGCATGCTGTGGAGAGCTGCAAAAGCAAAGCAAATGATGTCCGACCTCTAAGTCTGGCTCTGCGATCTTTCTTCGCTACTACTTCATGTGTGTGTGTCATGATGCCACTCAAGATTTCTCAGGCAACTGGAAAGGTGCTATCGCGCGTCAGCAACCCCATTGACAGGAATGATGTGGTAGTTTCCCAAAATAAGGGGACCCGAATATAGACCCAAATATACCATAATCCTTATTATGGGGAACCCCAATAAGGTACCCCTAGTTTTGGGAAACCCCTATGTATTGATGTACTGTTACCAACCCAGCCTGTTGCAGGATGCTTTTGGGGCAAGCTGTTTGTGCCAACACTGATGCGACCGGAGCCAGCACGGCCAAGCCTGCTAAGCAAGAAGAGCGGCTGTGAGCTACACAGCTGCCGGGACGCATCACCAACAACAGCGCAAGATGTAGCAACATCTTCTTGTTCGCAACTCATCTAAAGTACAGACTCAAGTCGGCTGATGCAGGAACTATCCTTCTACTTACCTGTTACTCTGATATGACCTTCACTGCAGACCTCACCTGAAACTGTCGCTCAGAAGGGTGGCGGCCTTGTGTCTGGCCAGTGCAGTTGAATGGTACTGGTCTGAGATCTGCCTCAGCTGGGATGGCTCAAGCACTGGCAAGAGTAATAGCAAGGAAAAATTACTATAGTACACGGTGACATTTTGAAACTAGAATAGCTAAAGGCGCAAATGCTCCGGCAGGAATCTGAATAGCCCTGCAACACTGATTGTGTTGTATCTCATTCTCCCCTACCTTCTCGTGCACCAAATCCCAGATTCGCTCAGGCACCTGTCCTCATTTGTGTATGGCTGGTAGGAGGTCTGCACCGACAAGTTCGGCAGGTCAAAGACGGTGGCTGACCATCCGAATCCTGGAAAAGATAATGCTCAAACAATATCACAGGGAAGAGGAATGTGACACATGCCTCGACAAATTCCGTATGTCCTTGTGCTCGATGCTTGTAGTTCATGTTTGCCCGGTGAGGCAATGGATGCACATGTGGATCCTCTGTGTCCTCACACATTCAATCACTGGTAGCATTCTGGTGAACAGTACGCCGCATGAAAACCTAAGGGACGTCTGCATTTTACAAGCATATCCCGGGGCCAGGACATGCCGCAACTCCTGTTCCAGAAAAACAGCTCCCCCTATAATGGAGAATCGAATGGAAAAGAAAATGGAAAATGAAATGGAAACTCGGGGAATATAGGGATTTAAGGAACTTAAATTAAGTTATGATATTGGGGAAACCCTGTTATTTACTATATATACCCATGGACCTACGTCCCTCAAGTGAAGCATGTTCCATGCTGACAGTCCAATGAAGGCCAGGCGGCTGGCTCTGTTAAAAGCAGCTCATCCAGCACAGAAATAGCGATGGTCGGCGCAATCTCCAGCAGCTCGGCAATGCTATCCTGAAGCCAAGCCCCAAACACCAGAACCCCCGGGTAACCCAGTACATCACCCCCTGCATTGACTGCCCTAAACCCTTAACCCTAAACCCTTGACCCTAAACCCTAAACCATTAAGCCCAAGTGTCTACTGGCTCCAGGCCCTCCGCGGACCGGGCGCCGGTGACAGCCCGGAGGCGCAGCGTCGAAAGAGCACGGGCTGCGGTACCGCCGGAATCCTTGGGTTGCAGATTAACCCCCACCCTCTCATATGAACCCCCCACCCTCCCACCCTAAAAATATTCCCAAGACACAATAATATACCTCAATGGCAGTGCTTAATATTAGGGGTGTGGGTGGGTTTAATATTAGCGGGAGGATTGGTAGGGGTCACACGATCAACGGCTTGGGAAGCACGGCTCTATACCTGCTAACGTGTTCTCTAGGGCTGCAAATGCTTCATCGTTGCGGGCGACTGGGGCTGGCGCCACCCTAGCGTCTGGGCTTGGTAGCTCTAAGCCTCTTCGAGATCTCAACCCAAAATTCACAAGTTCCTCTGTCGGTTCTAGCTGCTTCCTCCCATCAGAAAACTCGAAGGGTTGAGCAAGGGCATTGTCGACGTGGAGCAACCGCCCCAAGACTTCTAAACCCTGCATCAACCCCGCCCACACCCCCACCTTCTTGGACTCCTCCAGAACACGCTTCACGAGCTCGTTGGCGCCACTTACACTGAAGGCTGCCATGCTGGTCACATCCTCCAGGGTCCGGAGGGCCCACAGGTGGGGTGTAGGGCTGAGGTCTGCAAGAAAGTCTCTTCTATTAAAGTGTAGTGTAATGCATTATAGTATATTTTGTAATATGTTGTAACATATGATAATATGTTCTAGTGGATGTCGAAGATGCAAACTACAAAGGCTATGACGGGATAATCTGAGCAGCTGTCCACGCAAGAAGCTGCATCTGACAAGAACTACATCGAGTTTTTCCGGTCCAAAACACAAGCGAGTAGTGTTTTGTTTGGTTGTTGGAACCTAGTAAGATTATATTCCTTGTATACATACTATACCCAAAAGGAGGATAGAATCTTACTCTATATTGGGTACCATAGTATTCTCGGACATCAGTCAGTCATTGAATCAAGCGTCCCCAAATTAAATACTACTCAAGCACTGTGTGGAGGGGCCTGATGTTCTTATGGTCTTTACTGCTGGGGGGGCTGACCCGTCCCCAAGGACCTTTTGGCAGTTTCCCTTAAAGAGGGAACCCCAATACGGACTCCAACATACAATAATCCCCACACAACACAAGGTACCCCTAATTTTGGGAAACCCTAAACCCGAAGTTATAGTTTCCATTTTGTTTTCTATAAGCCCTATTTAATCCCTACATTACCCCCTATACACCCCTTAAAAAAGGTCTCCCTAATTTTGGGAAACCCGCATAGGTGCCTGGAGCAAGAAGCTGGCGCCTCGCAACGATGGTGCCAGTAGTGCCATGACCTGACACTCTTTGAAAAACATATTATGGGTGGTTTCCGAAAGTTAGGAGTACCTTCTTAAAGGGGTTTATACGGGTTATGTAGGGTTTACATGGAGATAATGGAAAAGGAAATGGAAACTACCATTTAGGGTGTAGGGTTTCCCAAAATTAGGGGTACCTTTTTTGGAGGGCCCCCTATAAAAATTATAGTATTTGGGGGTCTATATTGGGGTCCCCCTATTTAGGAAACTGCCATATCTCCACAAGAGCGCAGGGTGCAGGAAAGAAGGAGCGGTGCAGGAAGGGAAGCCCTGCCAAATCCTTATATGAGCTAAAGTCCTTAAAGGGGGTTATATCAGACTGTTATAGAAGTTATTATTGAAGGGGGGATACTAGGAGTTTAGACAATAGCTAATATAACTTCTATGTCCCTGCGCATATCCTTTGTGGCAATCCATCGTAGTATGGGAATTAAAAATACTAATGACAATAACAGTAGTGGTAGTCGTATGTTGTACTATGATAATATACTACAACATAGTGTGATGTACTACTATAGTTTGGTGAAGTATGCCCACGCCTCGCTTCGCTGCTTTTGTGAGTAGACCTGGCCATTCACAAGGAGCACAAAGCTGGCGGCTGGCGGTGAAATGATAGTTCCCCAAGATTAGGGTCCCCCGTAAGTACCCCAACATCATCCTTATTATGGGTACCACTCAGAAAGTTACCCCAAATTTCCTGAAACCCTACCATCTCTCCGTAAGAACTATAATGGTGTACTAACCCCAAACCCTAAACCCACGATAAGTCTGAGATGTCCAAGTGGTAACCGTCACCCCAACAATAAGCTGAACTGCACTTCACCTGGCCTGGTCTGCATAGTCGCAGATCCTTAGATATCATAGTATTATGTTAATACTATAGTCTAATATAGTCTAATATAGTATATCACGATAACAGACTATATCTATATTGTAGTGAAATTTACTATTATGTACAAGCGAATAGCATGTCAGAATACTTCATCTTGTCTCAGAGCCTCTTGATAGAGAAGCAAAGCCTTCAGTTATTCAGACCGAGTTGCTGCAGAGGAGTCAAGCCACGATCCCATCCCCGGTTGCCGTGTGCACGGGTGGCGCGGACGTAGGCGCTCGTCTTGAGCGTTACATCCTCAAAGAGCAAACAAACACTTGCTACTATAGATAACCTATATAATCCCAATATTACCCCTATTATAATATAGTAGTTTCCATTTTCTTTTCCATTATCCTTAGATAACCACAATATTACCCCTAAAATCAAAGAGCAGCTTCCTGAATCTGGCCTACTCTGACTTTTGACAGGTGGGAAGCATGGATGGTGACATATGGCGACATATGGCGACGCTATGCAACGATGCTGAGGCATCTACCGCGCTGTTCTCCACGAGTAGGCATACCAGTTCGGACTCGCAGTTCTTGCCGACGGCCAAGTGCAGGCAGCTCAGGCCTCCGCTTCCACCGCAGCCGTCTGGATTCGCGCGCTGTTCCAGAAGGTATTGGATGACACAGTCCTGGCATTGCCACGGACCGCTCACGCTTACACTGAACCTGTGAAGCACAGACTATAAGGAATCTAGAAGAATGAAACTTGCATGGTCGGGCTCTTGAAAGCGCACCTTCGCGCACTTCACGGTCGGATGTTGCCCAGTGGAGTGCCGCATCGAGTTGTGATAGTCAATGGTGGCTACTATCGCATCAGAGAGAGGAGTCCAGCATGGTATCTTGTCAAAGACTGCTGCCGACTCCTCAGTGAACACCCCATGTCCCCTTCACTCTACTAGATTTTGGTTTCCAAAATTAGGGTGTATTTGTTTTTAGGGGTGGAGTCCATATAAAAAAGATGAAAATATGTTGGAATCTATATTGGGTGCGCCTTTTTGGGGAAATCACGATATAACTTCTTGGTAACCTCACTTTCCATTTGATTTTGCACTGTCTGTTCCATTTGATCCTTCCATCATTTGTGGTACCGGTATTATATCCCTGTATATATCCCTTTTCCATTATTTGGGGTGACCCTAAACCCTAAACCCCAAATAGCAATTTCCATTTTATTCTCCGTTATGCCAAGATAACCCCAGTATAACCCCAATATTAGACAGTAGTTTCCATTTTCTTTTCCATTATCCCTATTTAACCCCGATATTCTATCCCCACATACCCTAAATCCTAAACCCCCCCCTTCACCTTGTTCCCTCCAGCAGCTGGGCTTTGCGGGGACTGGGTTAGACAAGCAGCAATGGAGGCATTCAGGCTGAGCAAGGTCTTGACCTGGAGGACTGCGGTTTAGGATTTATTTAGGGCCCTTACACGGTTTCAGGTTTTCTTGCCCTTACTCGGTTTAAGGGTTTTTGTTTCAAACTTCTAGATATCTTCGACAACATCATGCCATGCATGAATGCGGTCTGCTCGTGCTACAGCTGCTGCTTGACAGTTGCACTTGCGGCGAGGAAGACAAGCGGGCGCCATCAGACGCAGGCAACAGCACAGCCAAAAGGGCAACAGCTGCAACATCAGCAACAAAAGCAGCGCGGCGGCAGCATTCTCAAGATGCAACAACAGCAGCAGCCATCAGTGCAGCCTGAGTGCACATCGCGACAGCAGCAGCAGCAGCAATAACTGCAGCAACATCAACAGCACAAACAACAGTGGCTGCGGCAGCAAAAAACAATTGCATCAGCGGCAGCACCAGCAAAGGCAAATGCAACAGTATCGACAGCAAGAAGAAAAGACCAACAGCAGCAGCTGAAGCAACAGCAATACCGACATCGGCACCACCACGACCATCATCGCCCACATGATCCTGGGTCCCTCGTATTTCGTCTGCCGTGCTCAAGCTATCCTCTTGCGTCAGTATCCTCGCCGATAGCAGACCCGACGCGCCCCATATTCCTCTCACAATTCCTAAGTTTCCTAGCATCAAGTCCTCACCCGATTAAAAGAACGTCTCCAGCATCATAATCCTGCATATTTGCAAGGAGAGAGGTTCCCAAAGCAATCCGCATACCCCCAGCTCCTGTAAAGCTACCAGAGAGAACAAGTCCCGGGCAGCTGGCAAACAGTGGCCTCAGTTGCTGGATAGCCTGTATGTCTTGGAATTGATTCTCACACGTAGCTTCTAAAGCTTTAGGGGAACGTAGCCCGACCATGTTTCTGGCTTGCACTGCACTATGCGCCAACGCCATGTTTCACGGACATTTGGTCCACAGAACTGCGACAAAATCCATTTCAAAGAAGCAATGCAACCATAGCGTCCCACAGCGGCAATGTGCATCCCCGTTACGCTGCAGTACTCCTTGGCATCAGTAGGAAGCCTTTCCAGGCTTGCTCGTGATTGGACAAATATCTGTTGAAAAGCCTACCTCTCAATGTCGGAGCCTTGAAGCTACAGTCCCCCTTAAGTAGATAGAATGTAGGGGTTATATTGGTGTAATGAAAAAGAAAATGCAAACTACTATTTAGGGTCTTAGGGTTCTATCTACTTAAGGGGGAGTGTATGTTGAGACCAGCATCGTTTGAGTTCGTTCTTCTCTCCACGTCCGCTTTTGCGTGGATGTCAGCACGGCTGGTCACAATGTACCTAGGGGATAATCGGAAAACACCAACTCACACTGTCGTACAAGTCTGCTCATATTGATCCACAACTCGGCGGACCGACAAAACTGCAATTGAATATTTGCCTTGTACATGTACATGGGAAACTGTGCCATCCGTGTCTGGGCTTGACAAGGATCTAAAGAAGCCAAAGCACTTCAGCACCTCTTCTCCAGAAGCACGCCACTTTTTGTCCTGCATGATAGTGTCATTGAGCGGCCAAGCGCTGACAAATTTTTCAGGGGACATTCGAAGTCCGATCTGCGTATGGTGTGGTGCAAAAGCAAAAGCTGCCGACAGATGGACAAGCGACTGCGTGGGGAAAACCAATCACAACAAAGCAAGCCAGCCGCAGACATGTGATTACCCTGTCCTCCTCACGCACCATCTCATCAATCGCAAAGTGAAGCAAATATCCTGTGGCAACTCTGTTCCTTTTGCCTTAGAGCGCTGGCGGATGTAACAAGATCTTTGACCAAGTCTTAGGGTCCAAGGTGTGCTTCTCACAACTGAATATAACCCCACTATAACCCCAACATATACCCTATTATACTATAGTAGCTTCCATTTCATTATCCATTATCCCAATATAACCCCAATAGAAATTCATTGCCGGGAAACGGTAGAACTTCCCAGGACGCAGCGGATGGCTTAGCTTGATTTGAACGACCTCCTCCAAATCCTTGGAAGGCATCCCCGCAGACCAAGCCTGCATACGGCTCCGTTACTTGGAGGGTCTTCTGGGGGGACTTAGTAGGTTCATGATGGGGATAACTAGGGTTACTATATGGCGTATAAAAAATATTAACCTCCTTACTAACTTGCACTGACCCTCCAAGCAGGAGAGCAATCATGGCAGCTGCACCAACAAATCTGACTGCAAAATTTTGCTGCCAGCGATGTGTCAAGCTCAGTCGCTATTTCTGGCTCGATCCCTAGATCCAGGTCTGCATCGCTCATCATCTCCTTCCCGAATCAAATACAAAGAATCTGACAGGCTGAAGGTGTGGTAACTACAAAATCAATGGCAAGGAGAGTCTCCAAGACACGCAAAGAGCACCCAAAAAAACCTAGAGTGCTATGCAAGCATCCTGCGGTAGAAACTCTCAACTGCACAGAAACCATTTGGACATTGCAACACCAAAGGAGGGTCCTCCATGTGCAAGTCCGCGATGGTGACCGCCCGTCTCTTGGACGGCCCACCACTACGAAAGTCCTGCCCACTTCGACTACGGTCGTGTCGCTGAAGAGTGTCCATGGATGACATCGAGCTGGTGGACCATGATTCTGATAGCTATGGAACCCCAGGAGTGGAATCATGGAAAGAGCTGTAGGCTGGGACATTTTTTAAAGCATGAAACCGCCGGCCGTCGGCTCTGATTGGTACTGAAAAATTGAGATTCCCACCAAAAACTGAGCTGGCTTTAGGTGCCAAGCTGAACTGCACTACGCAGTCCTGCACGGTAAGGGATCCCTCCACAGCGCTCTCTTCGTCCAGGGTTCGCGACCGGATGATGGGAGAATCCACCAGGGACCTTCGGAAGCTTGTGCTGGAGTTTCAAGAACAGCCATGATAGCTTGCTGGTGGCTACAGTTCTGCCCTACCTTGACACGGAGCGATGCGCTACATATGCAGGAAAGATGAATCTTCTGGGCTTTAAGGCCACACTCCAAAGGCCTTCACTGCAGCAACGGCATGGGAGCATCTTCCATCATTTTGGGGAAATCTGAGGCTGAGGTCAGACACTTGCCTTGGCGACTGCATCCCAGGAGTGCCAAAGCCTTCATCCAGTAGGTGCCGAATGCACACCTGGAAGAACCGATAGCCTTGAGTCAGAACACTATATGCACAACATAAGCTGGCCACCATCAAAGGACTGCCTGACTTGGCTGAGGCTGGCAACCTAGCACTGACACGCAAGACTGCTGGATCTTCAGCACTCTGTTCTCGTCCGTGCCATCCCTGCAGAGAAGGCGGAGACCAACAGCACAACTACTTGCAGGGCACAAGTCTATCATCACACATGCCATCAACTACCGCATTCTCAGAGGCACCTGCTAGGCAAGAGAGATATCTGCAGCAGATCATCCTCTTCATCAGGGTCCTGCCCAAGTCTCGAGAGTCTCGTGAACATTTTTTGCTATATTACCTTATTACTGTGTTACTGTGTTGCCATACTACTATGTTACTATATTACTCCAGCACTGTATTACTATATTACCAGATTACTATACTACGGTATTACTGTATTACGAAAGTTACTCAATTACTACATTACTACATTGCCGCATTGGTATGTTACTAGTTCATGAAAATACCATAGTGCCACATTACTATGTTACGGGGCGTGGCGTCCCTGACCCCAAACCCCTAAACCAAGGCAAGCAGGCTTCTGCTTCTGCCACCACTCGAACAAGCAAAGGAAACAGAAATCAGTCAGGTGAACAGCTGGCATCTGATATAGTCATATATAAATAAAAGAATTTGATAATACAGCAATATAAAAATGCCGTAATGTAGTTATATAGTACATGTAGTAATTTAGTGATACAATATACTACGTATAGTCATGTAGTACCTCACTGCCGTTTCAGGGTCCTCCACATCTGTCATCACCACGAACTCGCAGCGACGAGCATCCGCAGTTTCCACGATGAACCTCTTTGCAACATCATGCAGCCAAATGGGGTGTCCTGAAATAGGGGTACCATTTTGGTGCATTGAGGATTGTAAGATTTTGCGTTGGGAAGCTATCATATCACTGTAGTGGGAGCCACGGGGCACGTGGCGTGCTTTGGTCGTCACATCTTCTGGGCAACACAGACCACTGGTCATAATCCGCAGTCACTGATGCAGAAGGGCCCTTACGTCATGAGGCTTCGGCTACGAGCAGGATGAGGCCGCGGCTGGCGCACTTCCGACCTAGCTGTTGCACCCTTCCGCGCGATCGCCTCCAGGTCGAGTTCCTTCACTCGTCGGCTGAACTTGTGAAGATTCTCTCCAGCAACCGAGTCTCTTCTACCCACCCGCTAAACTACACTCCTGGGGAAGAACTTCAAGGGCACATGGAAAGAAATTGCAGACTCTTGGCTCAGCTTCAAATTGTCAGCAAAGCTTCCCAAGGCCGCATTGCGCATACATGGTTGTGATTTGCTGGACGTCCGAGGCTAGTGATTGCTAAGGCCAAACTTGTGCGACCGAGTTGCAACCACCATGCCCTTCTTGATTCCAATTCTGCGCGCTTGCTGCACTTTCTCTTTCGCCGATTTGGCTTGCGGCCTGGCTACGACCGCAAGGTCAAAGCTAGCAGTTTGTGTCTGTGCAACAATACCTGCAGTACCTACAAGATCCTACAAGCTTTCATGAGACAGATACAGGCCAATATGCACAGCTGTCTATCTTCTGGCCTGAGGTCATTGCAAGTCGCACCACTCAGGTCCACGGCAGTGGGGTCGGCAGAATGTTCAAGAAGAACCTTGACCACCTGGAGGCGTCCGTGTAAGGTTGCTGCCACATCAGTGGGATAATGGAAAATAAAATGGAAACTACTATATAGGGGTATATAGGGTTATATCGGGGTTATACGGGGACAATGGAAAAGAAAATGGAAACTGCTTTATAGGGTATATAGGGTTATATCGGGGTTATACGGGGACAATGGAAAAGAAAATGGAAACTGCTTTATAGGGTATATAGGGTTATGTAGGGGTTCTACGGGGACAATGGAAAAGAAAATGGAAACTACTTTATAGGGTTATATAGGGGTTATACGGGGACAATGGAAAAGAAAATGGAAACTACTTTATAGGGTATATAGGGTTATATGAGCTGTTAAGCAAACCATGCTCAGTCATGCCTGTGTGTGTGTGTGCGAGCACTTGCTTCCACACGTCCATCTTTCAAAATGCTGTCTTCTCTTTCTGACACTCACAATCTGCAGGAGCTCAAAACCCAAGGAATACAGTGAATGCAGTACCTTGAATAGTTTGGCCCACCTGGTGCTGAAGCACAGCATCCTCCCCCGCACGAGCCCAGAGCGCGGTAGCCAAATGCAGCGGTGTGTAATCGGGCACCGCGTCAAAGGTTGCCCTGGGCAAGCGAACGAGGTGAGCTAGGACAGCTACGGCAATGACTGTTTCCATCATCATGTCGATTGCATTCCCGAGAATCCGCGATTCCACTGCAGCGCGGCAGCGCAGAAGTGCCTGAACAGGGCTTCAAGGCCAGAGTAACCCTAAACCCTAAACCCTGGCTTTTCCCACTGCAGCCACCTTGACACCCGGGACGTTCCCTGCATAGACTGCGAAGTGGATCCTGGGATAGTTGCATGCCAGGGGCGGCCGTGTAAAGTCAACGTGCGATATGCGGGATTTGCACGGTTTATGCCATGGACTCAGAACAAAGATTGGAACGTTGCAACAATGCAAAGCTAGTTGCGGCAGAACGGAGCAAAGGACTTTCTCCTTGAGGATCGAGTCCTCCTGCGAAGATGAGTAGAGGCGCGCAAGCTCACACTCGTGATCCTGAAAAAAGCCTGTAGACCATTCCATCTAATTTGTCCAGCTCATGTTAGAATAAATGGTAATTAAAGTAATGGTAGTAAGAGTAGAAACACTACATGATGGTAAAAAATCACCAATCAAGGCTTATGAGCTTCAGGCCCTGCCGTCGCTCCCAGGGGTAGTCGAGCTCCACGTCGAAGACTGCTCGCGCATTGATGTTGCCCTTCAGACCTGGTGACTTGCACCAAGAGCTGCGACGCTAAATGGAAGGGATTCTCTACAAAAGGTCCATGATTCAAACAAACTTCAGGATAACTGCGCCGCTTGCAGGAATGCTGCTGAGAAGCTTAGAATTAGCTGAAGGTCCTCTTCCAAGCGCTCGTACCCACAGAACGCGGCCACCTGGCGAGAGTTCGAGATGCCAACCATCCAAAATTGCAGTGTAGCCCAGTCAGCTAGAGTCTAAACTCCTTAACAGGGGTTCTATAGGGGATATATAGGGGACTACTATAGAGGATATTAAGGGGGATACTACGAGTTTCGACTAAAGCTCAAGTGATGTCTGATGTTTGCAATTTGGATCGCAAGCCTCACCAATCCTCACCTGTGACATACTGGTAAGATACTTCATAGGGGCCCCTCATTAACCTAGGGTGCTAAGGACAGGTGCAACTGGACATGCCTTCCTACAGATGCACCCAACGCTTACTCACGGCCATTTAATCCAAATTTCCTACTAACCACCAGTAAGAAAATATCATAGCAAAGCCACGTGCATCAGGCTGATCTGGGACCAACTGCCAACTGATTCCATGCAGAGCTTGCAACGCCGTAACTGTCCACGTTGGGCTGCAGGCTTCATGGCCTGGCAGGGCTTGGTCAAGGAATCTAGCTTACGGCTTTCTTTTCAAAAAAAAGGTCGACTCTTTTTGCGTCTAGCAATATGCTTTGAACTAGGGTTCAGGGTTTAGGGTAGACATGTCAGCCAAGTGTTACAAAACCTGCCTCCTCCAAGGAGTATGCCTTGGGGAACTTGATCACAATGCTGCGCAGAAATGCCTTGAGAAGCTGGATCACGTTTTCCTGGAGACGCCCATTCAGGATGAAGCCTGGCTGAGCAGACGAGGGTTAGTTCAAAGCTTAGGCTGTAGGGTTTATTCTGTTTGGTAGGTCTTACCCAGACCCCCTAAAGGATCCAAAAAATGGAACCCCCCCCCAATATGAACCCATTACTACATGGGGGAAACTAGGGGATTATTAGGGGGTTCCATTTTTTGGATCCTTTAGGGGGTCTGGGTAAGGGATGCTATGGGATAGCGGAAGTTTGCAAGGACCAAAGGCGGCCGAAGCGTTTCTCAGCGGGCACAAACCGCAGCGGTGCTTACTCCACTGCTCTCTCCACTTAAGTCAAGCCTGGCAGGCAGCTTACCATTATCACTATTATCACGTTTGCTACTATAGTAATTACTATTCCTACTATTCTATTATTGCAATTATTACACTTACAATCACAATTGTTCAAGGCTGCAAGGCCATCTCTCACTTCAATGCTCTTGGGCGCGCCTATGTTCCAAGGGTTCGGCCCCAACATGTTCGACAGGGATACATGCTCTGTGGGATCGCCTTGGAAATCCTTGGCCAGGTGGCGTTTGTCCACAAGAAATGCAAAGATACCGCTCCCAACTGTCTAGATGAAGAGTACAGAGCCAACTGACAGCCCTCAACGCAATGAACAGGAACGGGGGCTCAAGTCACCAGCCCCAAACGCCAAATTCAAACTGCGAGCGTCATGCATCAGGTCCTCGAACCATTTTACCAAATCCTGCATTCAGGCAGGAGCGGCGCATGTTACGTTCTACAATGTTCCTTGCATTGTACAGGATCTGGATCCTTCCTGGCTTCCTGGTATCCAAACACGAAGATGGCTCAAACGACTTGACCCCCAGTCCCAAGAAGCGAACGCTCAAAGCTCCTGAAGGTCGTGAACGCGCTTTGAGGACGGCGTGCGTTGATTCGATGCGTCCTGACAAACATCCATATATACCCTATAATCCCTATATAATCCCCTAGATAGTAGTTTCCATTTTCTTTTCCATTATCGCAATATAACCCCTATAATATACCCTCTATAATCCCTATATAAACCCATTATAGTAGTTTCCATTTTCTTTTCCATTATCCCAATATAACCCCTATAATATACCCTCTATAATCCCTATATATCCCATTATAGTAGTTTCCATTTTCTTTTCCATTATCCCAATATAACCCCAGCCTGAAAACCCACCTCACCTGATTCAGGCAACCCTCAGACGTCCTCGAAGTTCACGCTTCGCTGGCCGTCTGACGCTGACCTTAACCAACCAACCCAGTGCACTGCTCATTATAGTAGTTTCCATTTTCTTTTCCATTATCCCAATAGAACCCCTATATAACCCCAATATATACCCTGTATAATCCTTATATAAACCCATAGGAGATTTCATTCACAATCCCATCTAGTGATCTGGGTGGGCGTGTTTCACGATTGCTGGCGTTTGCAAAGCTCTTCCAGTGCCGCAGACAGACCCGGGCTCAGGTCGGCTCAACCTGCTATGAACGCAACTTGCTTTCTTCAAATGGGTGGCGCACTGAAATCCTATCCCAAGCCCATCCGAAACCATCTGGGTATTTATTGGGATCACAAACTAAGCTTTCTCCTCACACCCTCCTCCATTGAGGGAAGGTTAGGAGGGATTGCAACACACAGCTTCATCGCCCAGGTGCGCATCGTGGTTGATGAACTGTGTATACCTCAGCTCCGGCAAACTTTGACGCTTGGGAGGCAAAGCTAAAACGGAAAGCTGAGCAGGTGCGCGAGCTTAGCTCTGGCTGCGGATTGAAAAGTGCTGTCACATCTTCCTCACAGGACCATGTCAGCGGATCCCAGAGGGTCACAGAGATCATCAGGCGTCGCTGCCACGTGTGGTCACCCCAGCACCTTTCCTCTGGGGTTATATTGGGATAATGGAAAAGAAAATGGAAACTACTATAATGGGTTATATAGGGATTATATAGGGTATATATTGGGGCTATATAGGGATTATATAAGGATAATGGAAAAGAAAATGGAAACTACTACTTCAAGCACCCGCCTCCCAGATTCCAAGCCTTCTAGGCAAACTACCTGCGCAGTAGTGAACGAAACCCTTCAAGCGCCATAGGCTGGGGCAGCTTTCAAGGATGCAGGTGCTAAATGGTAGTAATGCCACAGGTGTGCAGTCTCGGAAGCTGAGGCCGAGAAATCAGTGGAAGAACCTGGGACGCACGTCTTGCGGAATTGTGTAGGCTAGTAACATGTCTCGTAAGCTGTGGAATGAACTGACTGGCTGACATCAGAAACAGGTGGTGAGGTGAAGGCATTCGGGCTATCGCAGAGATTTCGCCATAGCTGCGCGTTACTTGTGGGAGCGCATGTCACTGGCCAGGTAACAATTCCCGACTGAGATCGCTTGCCCACCGGATCCTGCTGGGCAGAAGTTTCCTCAGCTTCAACCCTCAAGGTGATTCCACATCTCAAGACCGTGCACACTAGTGGCTGCTTCAAGGCTTCGGCTTGCCTGGTTCAAAGGGAATAAGGGAATATGGGAATGTGTGTAGATGCATATATAAATATGAGGTTTAGGATTGTTTAGGGTTTAGAAGTCAGGCAAGCTGCATCATGGGAGTACGACTGAGGATGAATATCTCGCGAGCTGGCCATGAGGGATCAGTGCCGACTGTGGACGACCACCATGGCCGAATGCGGGCATGAGCGTGTGCTACTGGGTTGGCCCCTAAAACCTTTTGAAAAATATTAGTATATAGGGTCCCTTATTAAAGCCATTAAGGAAAATACTAAATATCCCAGGGGCCTACCCAGGCTACACCAGAAACAGAAGCCGGCAGTTGCCAGTGAGCTGCTTGTTATCAAACAGCGTCTCGTCACTCAGGTATTTGCTGCTAGGCCAACCGCTTCTTCCCCGCTGTTAAGGTGTCTGTGGCTGTTGTTTGCACTTGATCTGTTCAACGATCCTTTGCTAATTTTCCTGGCAACGGTGGCAGATCCTGTCGTACTCAGCTATGCTTTGCCCATTGCAATGACCACGGCTGCCATACTTTAGGAGAGCTCATGTTTCAGCTGCACGTTCTCGGCAGAAGCTGAAATGGCCATTCGCACAGCACCATTCAGAGAGCCCGAATGCCATGTATTTACATGCGCATGTCGTGTCGCCTGCTCTTGGTTGACACATATCAGAGCAGACGTTCCCCAAACAGGAGCGTCCAATCTCTTACGTGTCTTGCAAAAGACCCCATGCTCTTGCATACTGCCATTGGTTCACCAGACGCTAGTATCGCTAGCGACGTTTGCGTGCAGAAGGCGCACTGCGAGGCAAGGATGCTTAGACAGTGCCTGCAGCCAATCTTTCAAGCATTTACTTCTGAGGAGGCCTCCGGCTAAACGCTCACATTGACTGTAGTACTATGTGTGTTGTCAGATGTGACTCGCCACTGAGACCTCCAGAATCGGATAACCCTTTCGAACCTCGGCTCTCAACCTCAAGTTCTCAGCTTTGAATTCAGACCTGCAAGCAGAACTTGTACCTCTGAGATAGTCCTGAAATTCAAGACTTCGAGACCCTGTCGGCAAGCATCACTCCAAACTCGTATTTCTTGCAGAAGGTTCCTCTGAAATCCCTGTGGATATATCCAGATTCTAGTGCCCATATTCCCTAGTGCCTCTACGCAACAATAAGTTCAGCTCTGTAGCTTCTGCAGTCTGATTTTTTGTCTCAATTTTGGCATCTTAGGCTGACATCGCCAAGGTCCAACGACCACGCCCTCTGGCGGAGGGTCCTCTGTGATTTGCAATTCTGGCTCCAGGATTCTGATTCAGACTCACCCCAATAGCAATAACAATCATAATAAGAATAATAACTGGTAAAAACAATTAGTAACAACAAGCATAGTACTACAATAATATTGAGCTAGGCAGCTAGAGCCTGTCCAGGATTGCACACGGGTCTAAACAAAGGCTGTCATACTCCACGGAAAACACCCTCCCAAGCCTAAAACATCACTTGCTACAATCCAAACGGATCTTGGTGTACTTTTTGCTCATGGCTACTTACAGTGACATGATTCAAGGTCGCGCATATGGTAGTTTCCCCAATATAGACCCCAAAATATTATAGTCCTGGTTATAGAGACCTTCAGAAAGGTACCCCTAATTTTGGGAAACCTCCATACGATCCAAGGTCCCCTTTGAGCATATACCAACTTCCCAACCTCCAGTGGCTGCCAGCGTGTGTCGCAGGAGAGACGGAAGGATTGGGTGCCGTTGGGCACTGTCGTGTGCAGAAGATCCATCCCGAAAATAGCCTTGGACTGATTCTATAGGGATTATATAGGGATAATGGAAGAGAAAATGGAAACTACTATAATGGGTTTATATAAGGATTATATAGGGTTGTTTATTGGGGTTATATAGGGATTATATAGGGATAATGGAAAAGAAAATGGAAACTACTATCTAGGGATTATATAGGGATTAAGCACAGCATCAACTCATGCTTTTAAATGTGGTGCCCTGAGGGTCTATGTACCCAATAATTAGGCACTCGGGATGTTGGTAAGAGTAAATTTAGTACAGGTTTGGGGTAAGTATATGATTATTGGGTACTTGGACCCTTAGGGGTACAATGGGGAATAGGCATCCATCTCTCAGCATGTTAAAACTCACAGTAGGCACTGACATCACTGAGCCATGCATTTTTTGAAGTGCTTGGCAAAACCTACGACAACAAAACCCATCCTGAGCAAACCTCTCTTAGAATGTGACGGCTAGGCGAGGCCCCTTGAACCTCTGCTAAGGAGCCACGTCTCCAGGACTGAAATGGGCACTGCGCCACGCGCAGCCTCTTCAAGCTTTCATAGGCCAAATGTGCCGTAAGGCAGGCTTCGGGTCTCGTTTCAGGTACTTTGCTCTGCCATTGCCAGTCCTGAGGCTCTGAACTCCGAACTGGCCCAGCCTTCCGGCAATGCGAGGCCGCCAGCGTCCGAGGCCAGCCAACCGCTCCTGCTGATGCTTAGTTGCTCATCGCGTCTTGGCACTGGCAGTCCGCGTCTCTATTTTAAGGGAACCTCAGCCACACATGAGCCAGGCAAAGAAGGGAAATGCAAACAGATGCAGAATTCAAGGTGCATCCATCAGTGTGCAGCTCCTTTCCCCATCAGATCCAACGCGACGGTAGTCCTTAAACCTGAGAGCTTCACAAGGACAGGAGCCTGTAGGACTTTGGCAGATGCCAATGCAACTTCAGTGACAGAAAGACCTGCCTTGATTGCAAAGGTGCTGCGTCATAGCATCAGGGAAGTTGGGGGTCGCAACCCTAAACCCTAAACCCTACCCTAAACCCTAGCCCTAAACCCTAAACCCCTAAACCCTACTGAGATTTGCACTGCTCAACCACCGCAGGGTTCGTGTGCGAGCGTGGAATCCAGCAAAGGGATCCGAGCTCCTCCTGCCCGCACCTCAGGGACCAGGTCTTGGTAACGGAACTCAATAAGTAGGTCCCACTACAGTAAAGGGATATATAGGATTATATAGGATCATATAGGATTATACAGGGGCATACGGGAGTATAAAGAGATATTAGGGGGTAAATAGGGTTAAGGATCCAAGCAAATGTCCCCGCCTCACCGGTCCGAACGGGATCCAGGCCGTCAGCCGTCGGCCCTCGCCCACATAAGCGCGATCCATGTGCGGACCCGTGTAGGTCGTAGGCGGCACAGCCCGCAGCCACTTGTATGCCGTAGTTACTACCTGCAACAACTTCAAGATCACAGAAACTTGTGACATCACAAAGCCAAAAGCCCCACTGCGGACCTCCTCAACCTGCAGAAGGCTTGCGGTTGCCTCGAACAGGTTGGCGTGCTCCAAGACTGCAAGGACCTGTCCCCCACTGCGATACGAATCTTTCAGGTGACTGTCACTCGTGATTGCGGATTGGCTGTTCAACGGGAGTGGTGGAGTAGAGGCCTCTGGCAGAGCCTGAATGTCCAAGCGGCGCAGCAGCGATGGCATCGGCACCTACACGGCCAGAAGGTCAAGTCTAGCTACTAAATGCATAGCCCGCCGCGCTGACGCAACACAGACGTCCATCCAGCAATCGACCCATGTCACGACCCGGCTGATGAATTAATCAGTCCCTGTGGCGATTCAGGCACCTGACCATCAAGACAGTCCGGGGCAACCGATGCCGAGTCCAAAGCAGCCCCAGGCCTCAATGCGTGCCGCGATGGAACCCACCACAGACACAGTACATCAGATGAGCGCAAACTGCCACAGATCAGAAAATCCTGGCTATCCATGCAAGCGCAAGTAATCATTCAGAGCTGCTTGAGCGCATTTGCAGCGGACAACTCCCGCAGCAACCTAGCAAGATGGCATGAAGGACTCACATGCCACTCGGCAATTTCAACCATTGTGGGCAAAAATGGAGGCTGTGCGTATCGAGGGCACTGCCTGCCTCCTGCGAGCTCTGCAAACAAGGGTGGCTGGCAGGAGGCCACGGAGCAGCACAAGGCCCTCCTTGCAAGACACATGCAGACTGGAGATGATGAGAGCACCTGAGGTTGGGGTTTCCCAAAATTAGGG